CCCTCATACTGGGGATTGAACCCATGGCCTGGCACATGCTAGGCAAATGCTCTACCCCCTGAGTTATACCCCCAGTCTGCATCAAACTCTCTTATATCTAGGCTTCTTATCCTACCTAACCAATTCTTTGGAGGGCCAAAGTTAGTCCATGTTTCTTTGCTCTGAGTCTTTTCCCAAAGTCAGGCATATCTCTATTCTCATACCAACATTCAAACATTTTACTTACCCACCAACAAATGAGCTTCCCAGAGTACGGCAGAGGGAATATAGAGGGCCCAGGCCATGGGAACACAGCTCAGCTTCATGGTAAATGCGTCTAGGTCTTCTGCAACCCAAACACACTGATTTTCTTCAACATGAAACCTCTCAAATTAGAAAAAAGGAAGTAAATCTAACTGTCTCATCTCTATGCACCTGTTGTCAAGTTTGTAATTGGCTTTCATCATTCAGATTTGTTCAGGTTATTTCTGGTGCCATTTGTATCCTTAAGATTGTGCAAGAAATGATAGCACCTTCAGTTCTTCAATATTCCTTTGAAGAGCACAGAGACCTTTCAAAAACATGTGATTATCTGGTAATCAACTGGCCTTCATGTGCACTCTGGGAAAAGTCAATATCACTGGTGAAACATCTGGGAACAGAAGGTGGAAAATTGCTTGAAGAAAATCATGGAGAAATCAATGATATGAATTCAAGTGCCCTGTTTCAACCTGCTCCAAGCTTCCATGTTTCTAGTGACTAGAAGTAGCAAGACAGAGGGGAAATTATTGGCAATGGCACCAAGGCAGTTATCAGATTAATTCTTAGTAGGCTCTGACCATCCAAAACCAAAACAAATTTGTACTCAAATTTCTCTAGATTTATAACTTAGTTCTCTGATCCTGCAGGACAACGTAGACTGTTCAGTCTCATTGGAAGTCTGAGTAAGGCAAGGAAGAGTCTCCTGGGAAAGAGCAAAGGAAAAAAGAAATCAACTTCCAGAGGCCCCAGAAGCAAGCCCAAGGCTCAGGCTCATAGCCAAAGCTCAAGCCACTGATCCTGAGGAAATTAGAGACAGGAGGCATCTGATAGCTTTAGAAACTTGAGGAGACCTCAGAATAAGGGCAATACAGAGGCTACAGCATCCCTCTTTGGCTCTAGGTGGCCTTATATGAGAATCATTGTTCCTGCTTACAAATGTTTCCTGTTTGAGACCTTCTCAATGGCAGGCCCACTCCTCTTCTTACAGTGAGCACACTCTTCCCCATTCTCCACTCATAACATGCACCAGGGTCCCCATAGGTTATTCAGAAATGAGATAAGCCACAAGAAATGGGGAAAGGCAGTCTCACTTAAAGTCAAAAGGAGGAACAGCATGACCAATCAGTTGTGCAAAAGCCACAGATCAAAGCAGACAAAAAAGCAAAATGGGTATGAGAAAGTGGGTCTTTCTCAATCTAAAATAAGCATTTAGAATAAATTTTCCATTATCTGAGAAGCATGTTTTTATGCAGGTGGCCTCAGGGAGTTCAGAGGTGGTTGAATATGGGTGTGGGGTGGGGGGAAGGCAGTGAGGCAGTAAGCCCTGCAGCTGATGTGTTATGAAAGACCCAGCAGCCTCAAAGAGGAAGAAAAATCTAACCAGTCCTAATAAAAATTCAATAAATGAAATGTGTTTAGATGGACCTTCACCCTTAACAGTCCCACAGCACAGAGAACCTCAGGGTTACATAAGGTGCTTCTTTAAAATCACAAAAATCTTTCCCTTCCCAGGCTACCCCTTCTCCTTAACTGCCCTACCCATAATGTCATCCCTAGATAGAAGCATCATCTAGGTACCCTGTACCATCTGCATCAGTTCTTATAGGATCCCACTCTCAATGTAGAAAGCAAGAAGGTCTCTGAAGATCTTGCTTGAAAATCTTTATAATCCCCATTCATCAAATTCTGACGAATGAACTGTTTAGAAGAGGTGTAATTTACTAGGTTAAAAAAAAAGCAACAGCTTTTTCTTATGGATGATTCTATCCCAAAGCTTCACTACCTCCACTTCACAGTCTCACCCACTATTATGGTTTAAGTCTGGATTGTCTTCGAAAGGCTCATGTGTTGAAGACTTGGTCCCCCCAAAACAGCAGTGTTCAGAGAAATGAACGGATCATGAGGGCTCTGACCTCATATGTGGATTAATTCATTGAGGAATTTATAATTTGGACTTTTAGGAGGTGGTGGAAAGTGTAGGAGGTGGGACTTAGTACAAGTGAGTGGGTCCCAGGGGCCAGTGCCCTTGGGACTATATCTTGTCCTGTGCTTTTTTTCTCTCTCCTTCTCTCTCTCTCTCTCTTTTTTTTTTCTCTGCTACCTACGTGCTATGAGCTGAACACTTTTCTTCATCATGCCTTCTGCCATGATGTTTCTGCCCAGAGCAATGGAGCTACACCAACATGGATTGAAACTTCATTCTGAAACCATATACCAAAATAAATATTTCCACCTTTAAATGGTTTATGTCAGGTACTTAGGTCATAGTAACAAAAAGTTGTTCAACATACACTATAGCCAATGCAGGTTTAATGTAAACATAACCTATAGCCAATGCAGGTTTAATGTAAACAACCTAAGTCTTTCTTCCCCAAATTTTCATCGCAAAATAAACGCTCTTATTTCTGGTCTGGCAGACATTTTCCTACTGCTACCTTGCACTGATGCTGGTAATTATGGGAATTTCTTCTAGGACCCAGGCAGGGTTTTTTTTTGTTGTTGTTGTTGTTGTTTGTTTGTTTGTTTTGTTTTGGCTAACATTTACAATGGCTCAATAAATCCTTTTATTTCAGAAACTCCTCAATCCTAAAAATTTTAGGTTAATACTTTTACTTTCACACTTCATAAATGAGGTTGGATAGTTTGTGACTATCCCATTTGTCAGTTTTCTTAACACAAAGTTTTTTTTTTTAATCTTTGTTTATTTGGGGTCCAAAGATTGAACCTAAGGGTGCTCTGCCACTGAGCTATATCCCCAATCCATTCTATTATATTTTGAGAATGGGTCTTGCTAAATTGCCTAAGTTGGTCTTGAACTGGCCTCAACCTCTTGAAGGATCATAGGTGTGAGCCACCATGCCATGTGACATAATGTGTTTATAAATAATATTCCTTGAAGGTTGACATGGTGGAGCATACCTCTTATCCCAGTGACTTGAATCACAAGATTGAGGCCAGCCTCAGCAACTTAGTGAGACCCTGTCTCAAAATAAAAAATAAAAAGGTCTGGGGATATAGCTCAGTGGTACAATGTCTCTTGGTTCAATCCCCAGTACAAAATGCACGCGCGCATGCACATACACATACACACACACACACACACACACACACACACACACACACACATTCCTTTATTATCTATAGCAGCCCTGTGGCTATTGAATACTGTCATGGCTTAGTGCATAGTATTGGAATTTGTAGTGATATCGTTCATCTAATTCCTAAGATTTGAAAATGTTTTGCAATACACGAAGTTATTCTTCACATATTTGATCTGATTTGTTTATTTCTTCTGAGAGAAGAAAGGAAGGGCAGAGAAAGGGAGGACCAGGGAAGGGGAAAGGAAATGAGAAAGAAAGAACACGCTAGAACGCATGTTGGGTCACCCTGGTGAACAAGTCAGACATGAATTAACATGTTCCTTTCTATACACCAATTGCACTCATAGTTAAAGTTTCAGAATACACATCCAGAAATCATGATGAAGATGCTTTCAGCTCTCCCACACACCAGAGGTCTCACTCAATTGTCTGTGCTTCAGAGAGTGACTCCCAGTTCTTTAAAAGGCCAACTTTTACCCTCAGTCCCTAGAAGTATGGGAATCTCATCTCGCTGCCATGTATGTCTCATTTTCATATAGAAAACTTACATATTCCTATAAGACAGTTTCCTGAACTATTCTTTCAACTTGACTGCTGGCAGTAAAAAAAGGGAATTAAGCAGCTTTATGGAAGATAGTGTCCTGGGCTCTTTCCTTTGAAAATCAAAACTGCTTGAAGTTCTTGGGTCATAGACAATTTTTGTTAAAGGTGCCTTTTTAAAATTCTGTTTGTGATGTTTTGCAGGTTTGCTTAACAAAACAGCTTAACAGAGTTATTCTAAACTGGCATGTCACAGAGGTAGGCAGAGTGGTTTGTTTGTTTGTTTTTGTTTCAGTTCTGGGAATTGAATCCAGGAGCACTCTATCACTAAGACACATCCCCACCCACCACACACACCCTTTTTTATTTTGGAACAGGGTCTCACTAAGTGAGCTGGGGCTGGCCTTGAACTTGCAGATCCCCTGCCTCAGCCTTCCAAGTAGTTGGGACATAGGCATGTGCCACTGCACCACTCTTGGCAGGCAGGTTCTTGCTGGAGCCCCAGATGAAGGTTTATCTTCCTTTTCTTTGCAGCTTTATTTGAGACTGCCATCATAGGGCACCGCCTCCAGCTCTCAGCTCCCGACAGATTGGTTGATGTAAGTTGTTAATTAGTTGAAATAAGTCTCTCAATTTCCTTTTTTTAAAATAGTTTTTAGTTGTAGAGGGACATTCAATATCTTTGTTTATTAATTTATTTTTTATGTAGTGCTAGAATTGAATCAGTGTTCTGCCACTGAGCTAGAGCCCCAGCCCTCAATTTCCTTTTTGAAGTAGGATATCTAGCAGAACCACTGACTTCTTTCCCCAACGTGTGTAACTGAGAAAATTAGTGTCAATGGCCTGCCTCTAATCTGACAGAAAATTCCTATAAGTATCTGTTTTGTGTGGTAATACAGAAATATTAGATTATTAATTATAACATCATTACCCAGAGAATATTTTTTTTTTGTATCATGGATTGAACCCAGGGATGCTTAACCACTGAGCCAAATCCTTGGCCCTTTTTTATTTTTTATTTTGAGACTAGGTCTCACTATTCTCATCAAAAACAGCTAAAAGTTCTAGTTAGTCCAGTGAGGTAAGAAAAGAAAAGGCACACAGATTAAAAATAAATTAAATTATAAGCCCCTTCTTGTACACAACATGATTGTCTACATAGAAAAATCTCAAGAATCTGAGCTGGGGCTGTGGCTCAGCGGTAGCGCACTTGCCTGGCATGTGTGAGACACTGGGTTCAATTCTCAGCATCACGTAAAATAAAAAAACAACTAAATAAATTTAAAAAGTAAAAAAAAAAAAAACCCTCAAGAATCCATTAAAAAAAAACCACCTAGAATAAGTGAGTATCCATCAAGGTTGCAATGTATAATAAAATGAACACACAAAAATCAATGTATTTCTACAATAATAGACCTTAAACTGTACTACAATATAGTAGACCT